CTGCCCCCCCCCCCAAAAAAAAAACACACACTCACACCCACTGGATTTTTCAAGTTTGATTTGTTTAATCTTCAGTAACTTTGCACTGTAACTGCCACTGGCTCAAGCCCTCCCTGGTTAGGAAGGCCTTGCTCCAGCCAAATGTCCAGCAAAGATCCAGGCATCAGCACACCTGGGCTTCTAAGCCAGTTTCCTCCCAACTCCCCCATGCCCCTGGGATCCTCTTGGGATTCTTGATTTCAGGGGTCCCCCTACACACCTTGAAAAGAAAACTCCTAGTTTTCTTTTCTGAGTGACCTAAGCTGGACATATTCCATGCCCCTGCAGTTCCCTGGTCACCAACTCAGGCTGGCCCCCAGAGCACAGGCATACCAATGTGCTCTGCCTTGAAGACAGAAATCAAACAAGGTTGTAAAAGGTGTGTGGGGGGGGGGGCGCCTGGACGCTGAGCAGGGCCACGTGACCCTGCTCAGACCGCAAAATGTGCCGGATGGATTTAAACAGTGCCATCTTAAGGCCCGTTATGTAACTGAAAAACAGATCAGGGGAAAGAGGGACTTCAAAAGGGAGGGGGAAAGAAGGAGGGGAGATGCAGGGAAATGAAAACACTCTGGAGAGATGCCAGGGTTGGCTTTCCCCCATCCCCCCCCCACACTGCAGGCCTGAATGGAGAGGTGCTGCGCTGAAGGGGCCAGCCCTGCTCTGCTGAAGACATCTGGCTTAGAGGAGGAGGGGTCGTTGGCCTATCAGGATGCCTTGTAGAAATCATTCTTGGCCTGGGGACCAGCTTCTTCTTGGGCTCTGGGGTAGGAACACAAAGGCCCACCAGTAGCTGGCAGGACTCTTGTGTCTCTGGGCTCTGTATGGGTGCCTACTGCTGAAGGGGAATGTTTTCCCAGGAGTCAGTCACAGCCATAGGGTAGATTGGGGTTGGGGTAAGGCATTCCCCTGAAAAATTGGCTGGCAGACTGGAAGCTGGGGACTGTGTGTAAGGGGGAGTCCACCAGGCCAGGAACCTGAGTTTCCAGGAAGCTCATCTGACACTGTAGCATGCTCAGAGCAGTCACCTTAGGGGCCTTGGCTCCAGGAAGGTTGCCTTCCCCACCCCCTGCTGTCCTGTGTTCTCAGCAGGGCTCCAGGCAGAATCCCTGGAGTGCCTGGGGAGGGAGGGAGAGTGAAGGCTTCCTTCCAGGGATGAATGGGATTGTGGAAACAGCCTCAGATCAGGAGCTGCATCTTGGTCTGGCCTCCAGGGATGGGGGTGGGCACCAGGGGCCTGGTTGTCTTGGATAGGGATCAAAAGAAGAACCCCAGAAGAGTGATGAAGGGTTCTGAGCACTGGCACCATCTGGAATCAGGTCAGCCCCCAATGGGCTGCTCTGAGGGGAGCTAGCCTGATTCCTTCTTCCCCTGTGGCCACACCTTCTCTGTCAGTTAACCAGGTGTGTGGCTGGTGTGCTCAGAGGCCGTCCTCATTCTCTCCACACCCACCTGGCAACCCAGGGCAGGTGCTGTACCCTCACCCCTGCCACCCGGGGTGACACCATGTGGCAGCAGGATTTGGCCAGGCTTGGAGTGCAGAGACCTTGGGTCAGCTTCTTTGCCAACTGGCCCCATGCCCTGTCTGCATCATGGGGCTTGGTGGGGACCAGACAGGACCCAGATGCCTGTAAGCACTAGGGCCAGGTGCAGATGTCAGGACTGGCCTTGTCCTCCCCAGGTCAGAAAGACAACCGCCCTGGAGGCAAGTTCCAGCTCACATTTCCATTGCGTACTAACTATATGTACGCCAAGGTGAAGAAGAGCCTGCCGGAGATGTATGCCTTCACCGTGTGCATGTGGCTCAAGTCCAGCGCCGCGCCTGGGGTGGGTACACCCTTTTCCTATGCTGTGCCCGGCCAGGCCAACGAGCTGGTCCTCATCGAGTGGGGCAACAACCCCATGGAGATCCTCATCAATGACAAGGTAGGGGCCCCACGCCACCAGGGCATGCGGGATGGCAGGGCAAGGCCCCCAGAGCCCCAACTGGATTGCTGGCCAGGGCTGTGGTAGCCTCACAGGACTGAGGGAGGTGGGCGAAGACCAGAGATGGGGAGGGGTGTGCTCACCTTCTCTCACTGATCTTAGCAAAAAGGCTGAGAAGCTGTCCCCACTTGCTCTCTACTCGAGAAAGGAAGAGCTGGAAGCTTCCAGAGGCCTTCTGGGGTGGGGGGATGGAGATGGCAGACGATGATCGTGGGAACAGTCTAGTCCATCCTGCTCTAGTGATCCTTGCTCCCTCTCTACCCGCTGGCTTCAGACTGTAAACACTCCGGGTATCCCCTACAGATCTATCCCACTTAGCCCCCTACTCTCGAAGGAGGCCAAATCTGCCTGACCCCTTGGGAGAGGACAGCAGAGGGCAGCCCTTGCTCTCTACTGAGCTCTTCTCCATTCTGCCCCCTCTCCGTTGCCTTGGGATTACCTGTCAGCAACCCCCTCGATGTGTGCTGTCCACCAGCCACTTGTAGTAAATGGTTAGAACCTGGCTGGGAACTGGATTCCAAGCCCCCACTCTTGACACTGTGCCCCAGAAAGGGTTATGCTTTTCTGATCCCCATTTCTCCAAGTGGAAAGTCTGAGGTCTATCATCTGCCTGGGATTGGAGGGGGCATGGAGATTCCAGGTCCTAGGCTTGGTCTGAGCTTTGAAAGGCATGGTACCCCCAAACTCCATGGGCGTCCTCAGATTTTTCTCAAAGGCTGGCTGGATAGCATAGCCGAAGAACCTGGTGATTGGGCATGGAGGGTTAGAAGAGAAAGGAGGCTGGGAGGCTGCACTACACTCAGCTGCCAGGGTCATGGGCTGTCCATCCAAGGCCTTGTTTTGGAGACTAGCTAAGAGGGAGGAGGAGCGAGGCAGTGCATGTCCAGATGGATCTCAGGGCCTCCCTTTGGCCAAGCATCCATTTCCTATGTGATTCCATTACCCACCCATGAGTGGGGCTGACAGAAGCTAAAGTCTGGAGGGGCCAGGCCACGAAAATCTGAGTACTGCATTTTGATGGTTTTTAAAAAGTGGAGTAAAGAAGAATCACAGTTGAACCTGTGGGGCTCATTGATTTGGGGTGGTACTAGGCTATGGTACCCATACCATGGTGCATATCATTCTCCTTCCAGGTGGCCAAGCTGCCCTTCGTAATCAACGATGGCAAGTGGCACCACATCTGTATCACCTGGACCACACGGGATGGGGTCTGGGAAGCCTACCAGGATGGCACCCAGGGTGGCAATGGCGAGAACCTGGCCCCCTATCATCCTATCAAGCCACAGGGTGTGCTGGTGCTGGGCCAGGAGCAGGTACTGGCTGACAGTGGGCAGAGGAAGGGAGAGCGCAGACCCGGGGGCAGTGGCTTCCCTGAGAAGTAGCCAGTGCAGCAAGTTACACAGATTTGGGGCAAAACCCCTGCTCTGGGTGGGCTTCAGGAAACTCAGCGGGAGTGAGCTTGGTCCAGTGCTTAGGTCCTGGCACCCTCAGTAACTGCAGCCATGCCTTGCTTGGCACGGGAGGACCAGTTCAACTTTTATCCATGAATAATTTAGTTCCTGTGAAATGGTTTGTCTCCCATTGGGCACCTGGGAGGGGATGAAGGGATGGAGAAGCCAGGCCTTCCATTTCTGTTGGGACATAGTTGCTGCAGCCGGCAAAGAGGGTGTTTGAATAGAGCCTTGAGGTCCTGCTGCTGTGGTTGTCCATGACTCCTGCTGACTCCTCACTCACTGGCTGAGGGAATAGCTGCAGGAAGGACAGGGTCTGGGCCCAACTCATCCGGAGCAGAGGTGCCAGACACCAGTCCTGTGCCTGGGTTTCCCTCTGGAAGGGACAAGATGCATGGCTAAGATCCAGGGATGGGAGAGAAATGGTACCCAGAATAGACTGGGGAGCTTGATAGAGGAGTCAGATGCCTAGGTACACCCTATAGGGATGGATCCCAGATCAGCCAGCCCAACCCTTCAACCCTCATTCCTACTCTTCTCCAAAGGACACTCTGGGTGGTGGGTTTGATGCCACCCAAGCATTTGTTGGCGAGCTGGCCCATTTCAACATCTGGGACCGCAAGCTGACCCCGGGCGAAGTGTACAACCTGGCTACCTGCAGCACCAAGGCCCTGTCTGGCAATGTCATCGCCTGGTCTGAGTCCCAAATTGAGATCTATGGTGGAGCCACCAAGTGGACATTCGAGGCCTGTCGCCAGATCAACTGACCTCTCCAGGCCAGGGCTGAGCCCCCGGCCCCTCGCCCGCCTTCCCTGCTTGTGCGGTGATGATCCATCGTCTCTTCTTTCCCTTTCTCCTAGGAATGAATCAAGGCCATGGCCCCTGCACACACACACACAGCCTGGTTTTGTCCTCCTCCTGCACATGAAGCAGTCCTGGCTCTCCTTTGTCCCTGAGGACACCCCACTTCTCCCTAGGAGCCCCGACTGTTTCCCAGGCATGCCCTATTCACAGCTAAAGCAAGCGGCATCAACTCTGAACAATGCAGAAGTAGGTGAGAGGAGGGTGTGTGTGTGCGTGTGTGTGTGTGTACCTGTGTGCGTGGCTGTGACTGGGGGAGGCCTTTTCTTTTCCGATGAGCTATTTCATTTCCTCTTTTGTGGCTTTGGGAAATCTCACAATGGGTCAACATTCTGTATTTGCCAATTTTGTTAACTGCCTGTGTGCCTTGGGCTGGTGCAGCTTCTCCCGTACACACATTTGTCTTCATTTGCAGTCTTCTTTCAGAGCATCATAGCTCTCTATTGACATGTCTTTTAGTGGTTTGTTGAGGCTAGGGGCCTTTCCACAGAGAATTTTTATTTGGTATAAGAAATGAATTCTCTCTGGAGGTTGAAGGCTGACTGCCCTGGGGTGACACCACCTCCCAGCTATCCCCTCACACCCACCACACATGCTGCCTGCCAGCATCCCTGCTGTGTACCTTGGAGGGCAGTGTGGGCCTGGGAGGCCACCCTGCATGCCTTCCCAGTGGCTCTGCCCCAGGACTGCACCTTGCCCCTGGCCTTCCTGCCTCCTGCCTCCTTTGAGGCAGGAACATGTCCCTTTCAATCTGCACCACTTCAGCCCAGCTGGCTCCAAGCAAGGAGCGTTCCAACACCACACCAGGACACAGGTTCCTGGCGCCCTCCTCTCTTGTCCTGGCAGTGGGAGATCAGAGGTTCCAAGTGAGGAGCTCTGTGCTGATTGTGACCCATCCCAGAAGGTACTGATATTTGGCCCAACCAGTCCATGGGAGGTCTTCCCATGGCATTTTTCACAGCCATAACCCTTCAAGCACTCCCAGGCCCTGGTGAGCTGCTCAAACCCCCACCAGGGGGCTGGGGCTTGGACAGCTCTCACATAAAGCAGGCCTGGCCAGGGCCTGCCACCCAGTCCTCCATCTTACAGGGCTCAAGTCCTACAGCAGCCCTAGCCTGTCATGGAGACCCAACTAGTGTCTAGACCCTTGGCTTTTTCCCACGGAAAGAAACATGGACACCCCTTCTAGTCCTTCTGAAGAGGGGAGAAAAGTGAATGTGTGTGTGTGTGTGTGTGTGTGTGTGTGTGTGTGTGCACGCGTGTGTGTGAGGTTGTGCCCAGGGTAGGGTGAGCCTCTGCTTTGTCCTGCCGTCTGGTGGGCACACACCCGAGGGCACCTGGACTCTGTCTCCAGGAGTCGAACTAGCAAAAGGCTGGTGGCAAGTCTTTCTAGAAATCCTACGCACTGCCTGGCTGTCTGCAGCCGCAGACACTTCTTCAGGAGGAGCAGGTCTGATGCCTGCTTTCCTCCCAGGGGCACCTGTCTCCTTCAACACAGGTCCACATTGTGTCGGAAACTAGTGCATCCGTGTGTGTCTGTGTCAGTGTCTCTGTGTCGCTGTACTTGTGGGTGTCTGCACGGTACTCAGTCGCCAGTCTGCAGTGCATCACTCTCAGAGAGAGAGGGTGCGGACCAGGCACCGCACTGCGCGTTGTCGTTCAACAGTGGCTTTTTCTTAGATGATTGTACTTCCTCTGTGCCTGTCAGGTTGTGACATCCTTGGATCTGCAGGGATCTTCTCTGTTTGCATGTTCCTCGGGGTGGCGTGTTCCTTGCTCCCTCGGGCCAATGTGTGTTCCCTTTGCCTGCATGGACTTCTCCGGTTCTGTGTTGTGTGCTGAGTACCACCCAGTGTTCTGTGACTACCCATGTAGCTGCCAAAAATGGCTGGGTAAGCAAGCCAGGGGTGTCAGAGGAGGTTGAGAGAGAGATCAACCTCTCTCTTCCTCCCCACTCCCCAAACACACCTAGAAGCATTTCTAACAAACATGTAGGTTGAGAACAAGCCTGAATGAAACCCATGACTGGGAGAGAGAGAGCTTGGAATCACCTTTCCAGACTAGATCGAGCCCCACCCTCACTCCAGCTGTCCGGGAACCGCTGCCAGGCAAGGCCCAGAGCCGGCTATGCTGGGTGCACTTGGGCCAGCACCTGCCACCAGCCCCGGCCCCTGCCAATACGGACCCCAGTCCGCCTCTGCCCAGATGGGCCAGGTGGGAGCTGTCCGTTCAGGACCACAAGCCATCCTCTGCCCTAGCCTAGCGAGAGGGCAGAGCACACCCACTGCTTATGCCTCCGTCCTTTTCACCTACCAGCCCCTTTCTTTCCCTTCCCCCTCCCCTGATGCGCCCACGGTGCCAGGGACAGAAGCTGACATTTAGCTCCCGCCCCGTCCCTAACGAGTCTGTGCCAAGCCCCTCCACTCCGTCACTGTGTTCACACTTGGCACTTTGCTGGCCCCGAGAAAGGTAGATGATCCAGCGGCAAATCTAACCCACACGGTTCCCGTCAACTCCGCAACCTGACTGGTGTTCCCTCTTGCACTGAATAATACATGCCTCTCTCAGGTAAGCCATTTTATAAAATAAGAAGATAAAAACACTGTTGAGACAGTGTTTGCTTTTGCAGAGCTGGTGTACGACAGCTCCCTGGGCATCTGGGGTGAGAAAGCTGCCACGGAGGCCCCCTGGGCCCCGGGGGGCTCAGGTCTCACTTGAATCGTAAGCCTTCTTGCTTTTGATAACACAGTATTATTTCTCTTACTGTAGAAGAAAAAGTTTATTACCAAACAAGAGTATTTTTATGAAAGAATAGGACAAACCTATAAATTATCTCAACCTATATCTCCCTTGAAAATACTTTCAGGCTCCAACAAAAGTAGGACTGAAAGCATGTATTTTGGAAGAAAGAGATACATTTTGTATGCTTTCTTTTCCTTTTGTAGACTCCCAGTTTATTTTTTAAGACTGCAAAGATCACTTTGTCACCAGCCCTGGGACCTGAGACCAAGGGGGTGTCTTGTGGGCAGTGAGGGGAGGGCAGAGGCTGGCATGTGGTTCATAGTCATTCCAATGAGCTCCAGTGAGGGGCCACCTGTTCTCGAAAGTGTGTTGGGGACCAGGAGGTCAAAAAAGGCCATTTATGGTGGGCTCTTTGTCTTGGAGCTGACTGGTTAAGGATTTGAATATTCGTTCCAACCTTGATAGAAGAAAACTCGGGTTTTGTATTGTTAGCATTCAGAGATCGAATCCTCGGTTAGTCTTCTGGCATCCAAACCGTGGCTCGAAGCAGTTGCGATTTCATCTCTTAAAACACAGTGCTGTAAATTTACTCAGCTAGCGACGGGAAGTGTGTTGCTTCTGTGCACAGTGGACTTCCGTGCAATTTGTTAAAAGGGAACAAGTCATTGAGGAGAAACAAAAGCCCAATACTTAGAGTCCCAATTTTGTCTTATTTGCCAAAAAAAGCCCGCCTCCCCCAGAGTTGATATTGTTACAATGTACATAGTGTAAAATATGAAAGAATTGATGTATCTTACTTTTTCATTATTTGCTAACCAAAGCTGTACATTTTTCATATGACCTGCAGCCTTTTGGGTACCAGAAGGGTCAAAACCATGGGACTGCCACCTCCCATCGGCGATTCTGGAAATGCACTATTTCTACTGGTATTCTTGCTTTCTTTTTGTTTTTTTCATTTTCTTGCTGAAATGACATGAATTGTTGAGTTTATTTTTACACAGTAAAGAGTGAAGAAAGGCTGTGGTTTCTTGGGACAGTTTTCTTTTCTAAAACTTGTGATGTCATGAACCTGCCTGACCTGCACCCTGGCTCACTGTCCCCACCTATAGGGCACAAGTGACCCTCACATGCAAGGAGACATGTGTCTTCAGTTTGCATTTCGGTGTCCCTCAACAACCCCACAAACCACTGGCATGTACGGGTGCGAGTTCTCGTTTCCCAGGGGTAGCTGATACTGAGGCAGGGAGAGGTAGTGGGACTTCCCAATTCCAGGAGGCCACCCTGGGCCTGGGGCACAGAGTAGCTTCTAGCCCACCTCCACTACAGCCTGCTCTGCTGGGCACAGGTGGCTCCCACAGGCCTGGCTTGCTATCCTAAACAAACCTGTCCGTTTTCTGTTAATAGGTCCCATACTGTCCTTCCCAGAGTTCCCAGGCCCCTGCCCTGCCCTCAAGTGGAGGACATCTCCACAGTCACATAACAAAGGGGGTTGGGTACCCATGGAAAGCCCAGGCCTGGGGCAGAACTTGCTTCCCTGGCCAAGCTTGACTCTATCCGTACACAGACCCTGGGAACTGCTCCCTCCCAGAGGACAAAATGACCAGGCTTCAGGTGCTCTGGTGTTAGAGATCCGAGGACACGGAGCAACCTGAGATCAGGGAACATGGGACAAAATAGCCCGCCTGGTTGCTTGGTTGCCCAAGCACAAACACACACGCACACACACACACTGGGCTTGCAGAAGGCACAGGCCACCCTGGCTGCTTGTTGGCATTCCCCAGGGATTTCCTGCCTTGGGGTTCTCTGGTTGGAACCTAACTGGGGTTTAGTGGGACATGAACAAGCCACCGTTGCCTGGGAAGTGTGGAGGGAGGCAGTCAAGGCAAGGCAGGAAGTCCTCCCTGATGCACCTCGGTGGGCAGAGTGGCCAGTGGCTGGAGACCCTTGGCTGGTTCCTCCCCTGGGACTGTGTACACCAGTAGGCAACCCATGGTTGCACCTGATTCCAGAAGCTCTGGACCACACAGTACCTCAGCCCCCACTCGGGACATGCACGGTTAGGGGTATGGTAACTTCACACTTGCATTTGGAATTTCTTTGTAAGCGCTCATACAACACTTGGGTGTTATACCTATCAGTAGAAACATGACTTTCCACACTGGTCGCATGTGACCTTGGCACATAAATGAATGACTTCACGGAGCTGTGGCCAGGAAGGGAGCTGCTGGCCTTTGCAGCTGCCCTAGCCTAGGCGGGAGTCTGCACAGAGGGACTCAGGTCAGGATTCCAAAACCTTGGAATCTGGAAGCCCGTGGATGCATGAAGCTGGTCTTGGCTTGCACACTTCTAGTTCTGGGGGCCTCACTACCCCTCGGAGACAGTCTGTACTGTTTTCAGGCAGCTGTGACTACAGCCAGTTTTCTCTTACACTTCTTTTATTTTCCTTTTACACTGTGCT